ATTTCCGGTGCTTTCTTTCCATGACTGTATTTGAACAATGTGGCATGTGTTAGTGCCTGCATATTTGAAGAAGTGGGAACTTGCTGCTGTCATTGTAGTCAGAACATCTGTAGTTTCTTGGCAGGCCACCTAATTTGGTCCACAAATGGGCTTCCTGCTTGAGTTGGTGGACAGCTGGCCTGTGGCTAGAGTGTGGCGGTCAGTCTGTTTTCCTGTGAAAGTGTTTCCATGAATGAATAATATTCAAATTGGTGTTTAGGAATGAGTGATCTCAAAATAGCTCATCACCACCAACATTCCCATCCCAGATGAGAATCTCATGAGTACTGTATCATGGACTCTCCTACCCCATTTTCTGTTTCTGACCTCTCATTTATCATATCAGACAAGGTATGTGCTCAGCTTTACAAATGAACACATTTCCTTAATGCTCTCTTTGCCTCCCCTATGCTTAAAGGACTCCCTTGGAGTGCCTAAACTATTTCCAACCCGTAGCATCTTTTCATCTGCCTGGGGTCTTGACAGTGGGCCCTTTCAGTGAGACAGGGTCACAAAGAAGAGAATTCTGTGTGTGTGTGTGTGTGTGTGTCTGTCTGTCTGTCTTGTGCCATCCATTGGTGACACCAGGTATACCACTTTCCATTTTTATATAAACCCTCAGAACAACCACTGAAGAGACCAAAGCACTCATCATAACATTCAATTGTGGCCATCCTTTTTCTATATTTAAAAACATCGTGGAACCAGTTTCCTCTCAACTGGAAACACAGGTACACATATGCATGCAAGATTAGTCAGCATCTGACAAGAAGCAGAAGGGCTACGTGAGGATCTGTAATAAACCCTTTAGGCCAGGGAAGGGAAGGACAAAAGATTTTGAGGTGCCTGGAGGATAGCCACAATAGAAGGCCTTTAGCATCTTGGCAAAGAAGGCAGGAAGAGAAGTGGGCTTCCCAAGCCCAGTGTGAGCTGAGCTGTGAATCAGGGCGAGCCTTGGGGGAGCAGCCTCGGTGACAGCATAGAGGATCTGAGGCTGATCACCTGGATAAACACTGCTGCTTTCTTCCTGCCTCTTCCAATCTGCGCTACACCTTGGCTCTTTGAGCCTAATAGTAAACCGGCTAACAGGGAAGTTGGTATTCACTAATCCCTGGAAATCCTGGGAAATAGGGCCAGATAGAGAAAATCAAACAGAGGCAGATGTGGGGGCAAACAGAGAAAGATCATCACCAGCTCCAGCAGAGGATTTTCCTAAGGGTAGTCTATAATCCACACTGGAAGAAGGGTGGGGAAGGGCCTTGGGCTTTGTGTTCTCTAACTATGAACTTTTCTTAAAGAAGTAGGCTGTTCCCATACTCACCACTCCTTACCATTTTTTCTTTTCTACAATCCTTAGACTAAGGTCAAAGCAGAGTCTTCATTTACATTACTCATGCTCTTCGAGCTGTGGCCATGCTGAATGGTCTACTCTTCAAACTTCCTCAAGCAGACATCTTCCCATGTCTCTGTGCCTCTTGTCTTGACAAAAACACCCTCTTCTCAGAATTCCAAACTTGAGTTCCATTTATTCTCTGGTTCACCTCTTAGATGCATACAGTTTGTTTAGTTTTCAGTTCTCAATCTCCTTTTTATAGTCTGCATATTTCATGTGAGTAAGCCAACCAAGATCCTTGTCAAATAATCAGTGGTTTGCACGTTGCTAATGCTAATTGCTCTGGGACTGTAGGTGTCAAGCATATCTAGTTTGGTAGCACTGGTTTCTGCTGCACCGGTGGGATGGTTCAGGGGGGAAATATGATTACTACCAAGCCTGATGACTTGAAGAAAAACTCCTGAAAGTTATTCTCTTACCTGCCATTCCTGTGATTCTGAGTCACAACACTGGCTCTTCATAGGCCAATGGAAGTGATTCTAAAAGTGCAGTCTTGAATGCTGTCCTAACTGTTTGCCTTATACTTCTAGAGCCAGCCTGGGCCTTTGGTGAGCAATGTCAATAATAACATGAGTTATTATTAATAATCACCAATAATGTATCCATGTTGTGTTACGGACTGAAATCAAAGCACTTCCCCTTGGTGCCATTTAACCAAGAGTGAGGCCAGATTTGAATAATCTATTCTGCTTTTCCTGTGTCTTCCCTCATCCCTGTCTGTCTATGATAGGAGTCTGAATCCGTGCCTGCCTGAAGGCTGTTTTGTAAATCTCTCTGTCTCCATCTCTCTGTGTGTGTCCCTAACAAAGAGCTTCTGTTTTGTATTTATTGAAGAGCACAAAAAGCACCACCTGGGGAAAGAATAAGGAATACTTTTCAGAAATCTTTAACAGAGTTTTACAAGGGATTAAATCACTGACTCTAAATGACCCAGATAACAAACATCATTATTTCTCAAGCAATATCCATGTTGCGGCAACATTTATGTTGGATTACATAAGGCCATTTTCAACCTTCAAACACACGTGCATTACTCATGGAGGGACATGGAAATGATACATGTTAGAATATGGCTGTTATGGCTATGCGTTGGCTTAGGTTGTAAAAAGTTGATTGCCCACAGGTGGTGAGAGTGCACACAGCTTTCATCCCAGCACTTGGGAGGCAGAGGCAGGCAGATCAGGATAGCCAAGGTTACTTTAAAAAAGAAAAAGAAAGTCTTGAAATAAAACAAACAAAAAGTTGATTTCATGGGAAATCCAAGGCACATAAATTTGATTATTATAGTGTCTTCTTAAAAGCACATTGAATAAACAGGCTGAGTACATAGTCTTAGGTCTAAAGTGACCCAAATTTATTTTTAACTCTGCCTATGAGGCTTAGCAAGAGTTCCAGTGTCTTAGCATTAAAGAGATATTTTCATAATACTGTATCACGACATATGAACTCCATCAATGTGTCTCTGCCCTAGTTAGTTAGTTTCTTTCTTTTTTGTTTGTTTTGTTTTTGTTTTTTGAGACAGGGTTTCTCTGTGTAGACTTGGCTGTCCTAGACTCACCTTGTTAACCAGGCTGGCTTCGAACTCACAGAGATCTGCCAGCCTCTGCCTCCCTGAGTGCTGGGATTAAAAGCATGTGCCACCACACCCGGCTCCACCGCTAACTCTAACTGAAGGGATCGGCACAGGTGCACTAACATTTCTCCTTCTGTCGGACATGAGACCCAGGACTGTGCACATGCTCCGCAAGAGTCTATCACCAAGAAGTATCTCAGTCTGGGTTTTTCTTAAGGTTCTTCAAATGTTTTCTAAGCTGAAGGCAAGGCCCGTCACCATCGCTGCGGACCGTCACGGTAGAGAGTTTTCAGGAAGAAGTGAGATGCTGTGAGGACACTGTTGCGGCGGTGGGGAGGAAACCTGGGCAGGCTCTCTTGGATTCTTTCAGCAACTGCAGCTTCTGCAAGCGTGGAGCTTCCACACTCTGGAAGACTTTGAGAGGGGCTCCTGTATTCAGCCCTGCTCCCAGCACTGAGCCCTTCCCCAAATGGGATAGTCAGCTAACTTCTCAGCCCCTTTTTGTGTCCCTGTTATCTTCCTTTGTACCATTTGCTTTAAGAGCCACAGATAATTTGGATGGCATGGGAGTGGCCCGTAGTTATAACATGAACTTTAGGAATTGTAAGTGGCACCAGTTGCCCAGCACTTATTCTGTGCCTAAGTTTGCAATCACTGACATAGACATGGCTTCTTGTTCACTGCACAGAACTGTCAAAAACTATCAATTCACACTTTACAAATAAAGAAACTAAGACTCAACGGATGTGGTAGTTTGACTGAAAATGGTCCCCTCTGCTGGATATTTTTATGTCAACTTGACACAAGCTAAAGTCATCTGAGAGGAAGGAATGTCAATTCAGAAAATGCCTCCACAAGATCATGCTGTAGGCAAGCCTGTAGAGCATTTTCTTAATTAGTGATGGATGGGGACAGGCCCAGCCCCTTGTTGGTAGGCCACCCCTGGGCTGGTGGTCCTGGGTTCTATAAGGAAGGCTGAGCACACAGTGAGGAGTGAGCCAATAAGCAGCACCCATCCATGGCCTCTGTATCAGCTCTTGTTTCCAGTTTCTTGCCTTGAGCTCCTGTGCTGACTTCCTTCAATGATGTAGAAGTATAAACTCTATAAACCCTTTACTCCCCAAACTGCTTTTGGTCATGGTGTTTCATCGCAGCAATGGGACCGTAACTAAGACACCCCCATTGGCTCATATATATTGGGATGTTTAGTCATCAGAGAGCGGCAGTACTTGAGAAGGATTGGGAGGTGTGGCCTACTTAGAGGAAGTGCGTCACTGGGAGTGAGCTTTGAAGTTTCCAAAGCCCAGGCCAGATCCAGTGATTCTTTCTTCCTGCTGCCTTCAGATCCACGTGCAGAACTTTCAGTTACTTCTCCAACACTGTGTTCATCTGTGTGTGCTGCGATGCTCCCAACCATGAGGATAATGGACCAAACCTCTGAAACTCTAAGCCAGCCCCAATGAAAGGTTTTCTTTTATAAGAGTTGTTGTGGTCATGGTGTCTCTTCACAGCAACAGAACAGTGACTAGGACTGAGGGGTTCTACAGCATTACACATCTCAAGAAAGCAGCAGCACCAGGGTTAGAGATTCCCATCTGATTCCACAGCCACAGCTGAAGGCCATACCCTTCAAGAGGCATGTGTTACCTCCCTCAGATAATGCTGAGTTCCACTGAGGAATTTTATCGCCGTAATGCAAAGATGCAGCTGGTGGGAGAGATTCCCAACTGAGACAGATACAAAAAACTTACTCTCAACTCCATCACCACACCACCCAATAAGTACTTATGGTCAAACACACCCCAAATCAGCTGTCCACAAGATATAGCCATGTTTGGGCAAACAATGATTTTACCCACTCATCAGTGTTATGTCTCAACTTTTTCTTCACTAATTATTTACAGACTGTTGACAGATATTTGAACCTGGGGTCAAGGTGAACATCCCCAGTTATACAACAAAAATCTATAAAGACCTTTATCAATTGAGTGTGTGTCACCATAAAAGTCTCTCCTATGGTGGACCACAGCCCGGGATGGTTTAGCACAATGAAGGTGCTAACCTCAGCTTTGCTTCTAGTCATCCTGCAGGGTGTCCACGCCCTGAGTCCCACCAACTGTAATGCTTCCGAGTCTACGGCTGAGAAAGTTCTAGACCTGATCAATAAAGGGCGGAGGAATGGCTATGCTTTCCAGCTGCTGAGAGTCTCTGACGCTCACTTGGATGAAGTGGTGAGAAATTGCCGATAGAGAAGCTGAGCTGGGCAATCCTGTGTGAGGGCGAGGGGACTGGAGCCCCTGAGCAGACTGCTTCGCATAATTAATGGCTTTGTCAGGCTTCCTCTTTAGTTTCTGAGGCTCCCTCTAAAGTGTTGGGTTGCCTCTAAACTAATTTTTGTCATTGGCATGTTGTTAACTATGCATCGGTCTGAAAGTACCTAGCAGCACTATGCTGAGCCCATAGAACATTAGACACTTTGGAAAGAAAACTAGAGTTACCTGTGCGCCTCGAGGAAATAACAACCTGCTAAACGCACATAGGCCAACTGTGAAAAACAGCCTATGTTTTGTGACTGTGTGTGTGCTAAAGACATTGCAGCAATTTAATGAAGGGAAACATGCTGGTGGGTTCTGGACCACGGGTGGGATTTGAATAGGTGTTCCCAAGCGCATTATCTCCTCTAGGAGAGCAGGGGATCAGAAGGTGTATTACAAAGTAATTGAATAAGCAAGTAAGGAATTCTGGAACTTGAACAGGGCTCTGGAAATGCTAGAGTTGAGTGTGACATTGGAGGAAAGTATGGGCTTCTCTTGATTGAAGCCAAGCAAGCTTACTGCTTCATTTAGATTATATGAACAGGTTTGATGGGCCAACAGGGACTGTGGAGAGATGCTGTTCCCTCTCACTACAGCGGTAACAGTAACGACAACAACAATTTCGTACATCTTCTCTGGTGGAGCGTCTGAAAGCAGGACGCCAGACCGAAGACAACTGCCTCAGCTGATGACACACAAAACAATTTGTAGTCTTCCCAGCATTGGATAAGGGGAGATACTGCAAAATGCAGAAAAGAGGAACAGTAAGACAATGAACCCTGTAATGACCACCTGTCCCACTCTAAGCTCTTTGCCACATTTGTCAGACACAGGATCAAAGAGCATGGTGCTACTTCTGAATGGCAACACAGAGAGGTGGGAGGAGGGACACAATGCGATTGAGGTGACAGGGACATAAACTGAGAAGCTGTTCATGTATCCAGGAATGTGAATATGAAGACTAGACTGACGCAGTGACAAAGAATAGGAACAGACAAGACATGAGAGACATTTCAAGGAAAGTCCAGTTAGCCTGGTTTTTGATGGGCCAAAGCAAAGAAACTAATAATTGCAAGATGTATTTCTATTTTTCATTGCTTGTTTTCTTATGCTACTGCTACTAGCTCAAACTGGTCTTGAACTCTTTGTTGTTGTTTTGGTTTTGGTTTTTCAAGACAGGGTTTCTTTGTATAGCCTTGGCTGTCCTGAACTTGCTTTGTAGATAGGCTGGCTTCAAACTCACAGAGATCCACCAGCCTCTGCCTTCCTGAGTGCTGGGGGAACAGGCATGCGCCACTGCACATGGCTGGTCTTGAATTCTTGATCCTCCTGAGTTTTGGAATCAGAGGTATGAGCCAAGTGCCCTTGCAATTTACATCTGTATAGCCAGAACCTAAATAAATGGTCAATAAAGCCATTAAGAAGGACAAAGGAACACCACAGAGATCAAGAGTAGAGAACAGGTTTAGCTGCAGACAAGATTAAAGGGGGAAAGACAGTTCAGGAACAGAGGGCAGGACCAAAGATGCAAACCAGATGAGGCAGTGGCTACTGTCCCTTTTAACTCTGGGCTTGCACTTTCAACCCTACCCAAACCAATGGGCCATTTAGTGGCAGATTTTTAAAGGTAAGAGAAGCCTGTAATCTCAGCACTTGGGAGTGCTGAGCAGAAAGATCAACTCAAAGCCAGCCTGGGTTCTTATGTCCTGGGATCCTGTTCTTTAAAGGGAAAGAGAAGAAACAAGAGATAGGGAAGAGGAGAAAAGAGAAAGAGAGGGGAGTGAAGAAGAATGGAGAGAAAGAAAGGAAAGGGAAAGGAAGAAATTGCTTTTAGTATAAACAAAAATAGAGGCTGGAGAGATGGCTCAGAAGTTAAGAGCACGAGCACGGGCTGCTCTTCCAGAGGACTTGGGTTCAATTCCCAGCACCCATGTGGCAGTTCAGAACGGTCTATAACTCCAGTTCCAGGGGATCTAACACCCTCACACAGACATACATGCAGGCAAAGCACTAGTGCACATAAAATAATAAACAAATCATGAAACACTAAAATAGACTAAAACAGAAAGCCTCTGGGCTCCATCACCCTACTGACCTGTTCTTCACCTCCCTCGTTGTCCTCAGGGAGCCGCCACTGTCTACTACTTCGTCCTAAATGTGAAAGAATCTGATTGTTGGGTCCTGTCCACAAAACCCCAGGATGACTGTCTTCCGAATAGATGGCCATCTGAATTAGTAAGTAGGGGGGTCTCCCTCTCCCTCCTAACATTCTTCCATCTACTCCGCTCACTCAGAGGCGGCATGTTGGGCCACCACAGTGGGAAAAGCTGCTGATGCCTTAAGATTCACAAAAACGGCATTAGCCTTGAAAAGTACTCTTGTGGCCTCCGGGGATAGCGCCACCAGCTTTGAGTCTTGGGCAAGTCACCAATCATCCTTAGACTGCAGTCTTCTCAACTCTAAAGTGAAAGAGTTGGAGTAGGTAGACTCTGAGGTCATTTCCAGGCCACACAGTCTATGAATTAATGAATGGATAATTGTGTGCCACGAAGACTGGTCCCATTAGCAGTTATGGCCACCGTTGCAGGGAGGAATGAGGGCTTGCTGTGCTTTTGGACCTGAATACTGAGGCCAGACTCCCTGTCACAGGAGAGAACCCAAAGCAATAGGCAGACACTGGATGTCAGGTCCAGAAGTGAGAGTTTTACACGCCAACGGGCTTTCTCCTTTGACAATCCGTGGGGTATGGTCACAATCCATTGAAATAGATGCTCTTGTAAGGGTTTGGGTTAAGGTGACAAGACTGATGGAAAAAAAAAAACCCAATGCATGTTAAGTGAGATGGTATAATACGGCCTCTGTGTTCCCTCACAAGCAATCTGGGGAGCATAGCTCCGTAAGGGCTTAAAATCCTCTTGTTTTACAGGTGATTGGACAATGTAAGGTAATAGCCACAAGATACTCGAACGAGTCTCAGGATCTCAGAGTGAATGGCTACAACTGCACCACAAGTTCAGGTAAGCGCGTTGTCGTTCTGCGTCTCCCGGAAGTCCCGGACACAGACGAGATTTGTATGTCACACGCTCTCTGGTTCCGCTGGGGGTGCGGGAGAAAAGGATTTTCTCCGAAACGAGTATTATAGCTCTTTTCAAGCTGCCATACTGGCAGCAGAGGGTTACAGCTTTTAGGCTAAGCTGCTGGCCCCAGGCCAGGCAGCAGCAAGAAGCCTGGAGCTCCAACTGAGCCAAGCCAAGTGGCTTTGGAAGCCCAACTTAGCTCCGGGAAATCTGGTGGCCTCGTTGGGAACAGCCAACAGTCTTGACCCGAGTTGAAGGCAAGGCGGGAGCTTGGCCCAGAGCAAGCCTGGCTAGGCAGGCGAAGGTGAAGGCTCAGCGACAAAGCAGCTAGTCTCAGACGGTCAGGGTGGAGGAATGGAGTGAGAGACAGAGAGGGTTTGGTTTGAGAAACAGGAAGTGGGAGGGGCTTCAGGGGTGAGTGTGTTTGATTGGCTGGGGTTAGAAGGGCCGGAGATGCTTCATTTACAAGCAGCAGCACAGTCCTCTCCTAAGAAGGGAACGCAGTAGTTAATTATCCTAGGGGGGAGGGGAGAACTCAGGTACTGTTAGAGGTATGGGAAAAGGTCATTCGCTGAAAGCTAAGGTACCAAAACATCTCATTAGCATGGGGGAGCGTATTTCTAGGAATCCCCAGGTACACACTGAGTTATCAGGAAAGGGTCTTCCTGAAGGCACTCCTTAGAGGATTTGGGGTTTCCTCAGATCAAGCTGGAAAGAGGAACTCAGGTGAGGAAGGGAGTTGGTCATTTTAGCACTGGGCTCAGCGGCTGTCCAATAATGCCAGACTTTGACCTTAACAGCAGGGTCCAACAGGTCATCTGCTGAATTGCTAAGTAATTCCAAATTAACATAGAACTGAACTTGATCATACAGCATTATTTATTACATAACATTAGGAACATGAGAGAGGGCCCCTGCCCTGGCTTTCTCTGGTAGTACACATTCTCCTGAAAGTAGACAGAGGACAGTTCTCTTTCTCTGGTATACCTTACCTAAAGAGATTTAATACAGAGATGTGGGGATTTAAAGAGGCAATGCATCCTTCGAAGAGACTTAGCTCTGACGATAGGCTGACCTGATTAAATTCAAACCTCACTATTCACCTGTGACCTCAGAGTCAACGCTGTTGAGATGAAATCATGTCTTCATTGTGTCTAGGTTTTGCCCCCAGGGCCATGCCATCAGGTGGCTGCCAGCCCCAATTATTTTTATTTCCAAAGTAACTGTGACTTGGGGAACAGGTTACCTAACCCCTTTAGGCTTTCCTTGTTTTAGAATTCTTGTTGGAACTATATAGGATGAGTACTCTGCAGAATACTTAGCACTTGATAAGAACTGGCTTCAATAGTTAAAAGTTCTATATTACTCTACAGTATACAATGTAGTTATATATTGTATTATATAGTGCTAATCATTTTGGTTAATCTCACACAAGGCTATGCAGTAGACACTGTGAAACTATCTATTTTAGAGATTAAAATAATAGCAGCTGGCAAAGGTTCCACACACAGTGTGTTCTCAGAAGCACATGGAGACATGACAAAGATGACTATCTCTAAATCTCTACAGTGTGGGCTCTATTTGTTTTTTCCAAAAGAATTGGTTCTAAAAGGGAAAATTTGAGCATGATTGGACATGGTCAATGACCCAACAGCTTCTACAGAAAGTTACTTAAAGAAAGAAAAAAGCAAGGCATGATGGGACAGGCCTATATTCCCAGCACTCTGTAGGCCATTGAGTCTGAGGGCAGCTACAGGGTGATTCCCTGCGGGTGAAAAAGAAAGGAGGGAGAAAGAAAGAGTGGGGAGGAGGGAGGGAGAGTCCTGAAAGAGTGTGCTGAATCTTTTCTGTCACTTTACCTTGAAGCTGACATTCTCTTTCTGGCAAAGGTGGGAAGTGCAAATTCAAACATCATGTTGTACAAGCCAGAGTGGAAAGGGCATCATGGGTGGAGGTCACAACGAGGACCAGCAGGGAAGGGCAGGTGGTGTCTCTGCCGCCGGGCTGACTGATCTTGACAGGTTACTTTAACCTTCAATTGGTCCGTCTGTAATAAGGAAGCCAGTGGCATCCTCAGTGCTGGGCTTTCATATGCCGTATTCAGACCTGGCCTTGACACTGCTGCTTCCAACTCTGACACCGTGGCATCACCGTCTGTCTTCTCCTTCTAGTCTCTTCAGCACTGAGCAACACCAAAGACAGTCCCGTACTCTTCGATTTTTTTGAGGATTCTGAGCTCTACAGAAAACAAGCCAATAAAGCCCTCAACAAGTACAAAAGGGAGAATGATGACTTTGCCTCTTTCAGAGTGGAACGGGTAGAGAGAGTTATAAGAGCGGTGAGTTTCTGTCAAGTGGTGATCTCTTATCACTGGTGTAATGCATTTTCATAAGGAAGACATCAAAAGAAAATAGCATGCATTCATCATCTTAATTCCCAGAGTGCTTTACAAGATGTTGTAGGATGGGAAGCTATCATTTTTCCTCTTAACTTTCTATGCTCCTGAAACTATGTCGGTTCCTCTGTTCTAGAGAGGAGGGGAAAGGACCAATTACTACGTGGAATTCTCTGCCAGGAACTGTTCCACACAGCATTTCCCCAGGTACCCTCCAGTAAGTGTGACACACGCCTGTGAAACGCTGTTACTTAGAGAGGGCTCACTACTTAGGAGGCTCTACCAAATGTTTCATACACATGTTCACTTACTGACACTCACACCATCCTAGCAGGTAACACTCACACTCCCTCTGATTTGCAGATGGGGAAATGATGCCGGGTATTTCCTCGCTTCAGTCCTCGATCAGCAGGTGTTGGGTCCCAGTGGTGGGAAAGCAACAAACGCACACTGGTGTCTTGGTGCACCTCCTCCTATGTCATTGTCTGCCGAGATTCACGACAATTTTGCTCAAGAGATGCAAGTGTATGGCTCTGTTACCCTGTGATGAGGAGACCTAAAATCTTTTTGTTTTGTTTTGTTTTGTTTTGTTTTTCAAGATAGAGTTTCTCTGTGTAACCTTAGCTGTCCTGCACTCACTTAGTAGACCAGGCTCGAACTCTGCCTCTGCTGGGATTACAGGCTTTCGAAATCTTAACCACTTAACCTGTGCACTCTTAGGTGGATGTGTTAGCAAACAGGAACTCAGCTCTGATCTCAACTCCAGGGCTTTCCTGGGGTTTAATGTCACATTCACCTTCTCCGGCCAGAAGGGAGGAAGCAGTCACTGTGTCTGTCGGGTTCCAACTGCTCAAATTTCCACTGGTGCCAGTTTTAGATCCCTGCTCAGAAGCCACAAAAGTCAAGCCATTCCTCCTCCTTCTCTGTGTTTATGTGGTGTTAAAAAGCCACTGCAGAATCGTGAAGGCTGAGAAAGGACTCTAACAGCCTCACCTCATTTGTAACCTATGGTTATCACACTCATTTACAAACACTGAATTTCAGAACTTCTGCACAATTTATTTCCCACTGCTAGTAAATGGGTAAAGACATATATAAGTCCGTTTGACTTCAAAACTGTACAGGCAGCCTCAATGCATAGCTTTTTGTGGAGATGAATTGTCTCCTTGTCCTTTGACAAATGGGCTTAGGGGCTTCTGGAACATAAAATGCCAGCCAATTAGGGCCAGCAGTCACGGACATTAACAGGGTCCAAGCAAACCCATCTTTGCAATGGCTCTGCTCTTGCCAGCACTTCAAGTTACACAAATCTATCTTCAACAGCATTCCCCATCCTCCCAGGCACAAACAAACCAGGTCTTTAGTGCAGAAACACTGGTGTATGTGTCCCTAGTACTACATACAGACATACAGTACTCGTGTCTGCTCATGGAAGAAACCCACAGAAGCCTGAAAAATAGAAGAAGAAAAAAAAGCCTGTGTAGCCTGTACCTTACCCAAGTATTGACTGATGGGCGTATGGTAGTATGGATTGCCTTTAGATTTCCTTGTTTGCTTTGGGTGTCGCGTATGTGAGGCAAGGAGTTCACCAGGAAGATACAGCCCTTTCCTCTTATTCATTTAAAGCTTTTCTCGGCTAGAAGCCTTCACACCCCTGTGCTCACACACACACACACACACACACACACACACACACACACACACGGTCACTGTGCACTCCTCTTACATACACTAACAGGCATCTTCCTCTGTAGGTCTCTGGATTCTGCAGAGCAGTTTTGTCCTACAGTGTAGAAGCAGCGGACTTGGAAACCCCAGAAAACACTGACATAACCTGTGAAGTCTTCAACTTTGAGGTGGGTTGGCTAAGCATCCTTCATTGTGAGTAGGACCAGGCCAAGTGATAATACAACACATCCGACATTTGGCTCTTATGATTGTGTGTGTGTGTGTGTGTGTGTGTGTGTGTGTGTGTGTGTGTAAAAGAGAGAAATACAGAGACAGAGTCAGAGGGTAGGTTTGTTGTTACTAAGAACATGGCCCTATAGATTTTCTTTATTTGTATTTTATTTGTTTGGTTTTGTTTTTGAGACGAGGCCTCACTGTGCAGCATTGGCTGGCCTGGAAATCACTATGTAGACCAAGCTGGCCTTAAACTCATAGAGATCTGCCTGCCTCTGGCTCCCCTGTGCTGGGATTAAAAATGTACTCTGCCACATGAAACCATATGTACACCACCAAGCCCAACTTTTTTTTTTTTAAGTTAAAGTGTGTTGGTATACAATTGTAATTCCAACTGAAATATTCCAGCTGAAATAGAAGGACACCCAAAGGGGAGGACTTGGGGAGATGGGGGAGGAAAGGATGAGGGAGGGAGTTACGGCTGTGATAAAAAAAGTGCATCAAATGTAATTAATAAAAATAAATAATTTTTAAAGGAAAGAAGAACAGCCATGTTTCAAGCCAGCATGAGCCACAGAGAAAGACCCAGTTTTTTGAGTTTTTGTTTTTTTTTGTTTTTGTTTTTTGAAGCTAAAGTTGAGGGTTTAAAGGTTAAGTGGCTAGAAGAGTGTCTTAGGACTATGTTGGGAATGTCAGACCCGTCAAAAGATGCTACTTTACTCTTTTTGTTTTGTTTTGTTTTGTTTTGTTTTGTTTTGTTTTGTTTTGTTGATACAGGGTTTCTCTCTTAGCCATGGCTGTCCTGGAACTCACTTTGTAGGCCAGGCTGGCCTCCAACTCACAGAGATACACCTGCCTCTGCCTCCTGAGTGCTGGGATCAAAGGCGTGTATCATCATGCCTGGCTAAGATGATAATCTAATAGACAGGTATCATTCTTTGATAGAGTTTCATCACTTGTCACTGAAGTGAGAAAAATAAGGATAATACATTTTTTCATAAGACAGCATAAAGTCCTTCCAAAGGATACTCTTACTCTGATATCATCTTTCTCATTTGTCAAAATAGTATTCCTCTTGGGACATAATAATGCTATTCAACAACAGTTTTCTATTTCATTTTAAATGTAATTTGGCCAGGAAAAAAAAAAAAGTAAGACTGGAGAGATGGCCCAGCAGTTAAGAGTACTAGCTACTCTTAGAGAGAAACCAGGGTTCAATTCCCAGTACCACGGGGCAGCTCACAGCTGTCTCTAAGTCCAGTTCCAGGGAACCTGGGGCTCTCTTCTGGCCTACATAGGGACTGCACACCTACACAGTACACAGACATACATACATGCAGGTAAACTCCCAGACATAAAATGATACTATTTAAAATATCAATGGCTTTTTTTTGTATCTTACATCTTAAATCAATTTGTGAAATCTTTGAAAGCCTCCAGCCTATGTCAAGTCTAACATCTGACTCCTTACATAATTATATTCATGTCTCTTTTTCCTCTGCCAGGATCATCAAAACATGAGTGTCCATCCTTCCCATGGACATCACCCCCACGGACACCACCCCCACAGACACCATATTCACAGGGACCACCCCCATGGACACCACCCCCATGGAGACCATCCCCATGGACACCGTCCCCCTGGACACCATCCCCATGGACACCGTCCCCCTGGACACCACCCCCATGGAGACCATCCCCATGGAGACCATCCCCCTGGACACCGTCCCCATGGACACCACCCTCACGGACATGAGTTCCATAATTATGGACCCTGTGACCCACCTTCCAATAGCCAAGGTCAGAGTCAGCGGGGCTTTGGCCCACCACATGGCCACTCAAGAGAAACAGGTCCAGGTAAAGGACCCTTTCCTTTCCACCAACGAGAAATCGGATATATCTACCGACTCCCTCCACTAAATATAGGTGAAGTTCTCGCCCTTCCTGAAGCCAATTTCCCCAGCTTCTCGTTGCCAAATTGCAACAATCCCCTACAGCCAAAGATTCAGTCCTTCCCCCAGACAGCCTCAGAGTCATGTCCTGGGAAATTCAAGATGGAGTTCCCGCAGATTTACAAGTTTTTTGCATATGTGCCTCCAAAATAAAACCTGATTCCTTGGTGGGAAGAGAACAGTGTTCTGGATAAATAAAATGTGAAAGAAATGGAAAGTATAGCTACTTAAACTTTGTTTCCCTACTTAGCAAAGTATGAAAAAGAGGCCAGCACAAGGCAGGCAAATGGAAATGACAGGAAAGACGTCAATGGTATGAGCCACAGCTGAGCCCTGCCACTGGGTATTGCGTCAGGTGAGGCAAATCTCTGATGCTCAGAAGTTCTCTCTTCCTTGGCCTAACTCCCTAATTCTAGGGTCTCTGTTCCCAGTTATGCTACAGCTGAGTGGATTCGCTTCTTTTCCGTTGCTTTGATAAAATACCGTGAGCAAGGCAACTTCTGGAAAGACAGTTTATTTTGGCTTATGGCTCCAGAGAGATGAGAGTCCATCATGGCAGGGAGGCATGGCATCAAGTGGCGACAGGAGCAGGAAGCTGAGAGCAGAAAGAGCTAACTAGAAGTGACGCGAGGCTGTGATCTCAAAGGCTGCATACAGTGATGTTCTCTCCCCACCCCCGCCAGGCCACACCTCCCAAACATCCCCACGCAGCACCGCAAAGTGGGGACCAAAGTTCAGATAACTAAGCCTGTGGGACATTGCCATTCAAACCACTACACTGGGCATACCAAGAAAGTATACGTTACTTTTAACAATGTATTGTAAGAGTGACTCACATCACCTCCTAGTGATTTCTAGTCAAAATTCCATTATGAAACACTTAGTAAAATTGGCTAGCCAGGCAGCAGTGATGGCCCACGCCTTTAATCCCAGCACTTGGGAGGCAGAGGCTGGCAGGTCTTTGTGAATTCAAGACCAGCCTGGTCAACAGAGTTCCAAGGCAGCCAGGCTACACAGAGAAACCCTGTCTTGGAAAACCAAAAACCAGCCAAACAAACAAAACCAGCTCCCAGCTGCAAAGAGAGTTTTAGCATAATCATGAACATAAATTCAGACATTCAAGAAATATCACTTATGTTCCGATTAATTCCCATTTCACGTAGGCACTCTGCTGGACTAAGGGGAAACTAAACCCTAGTCCTTCTGGGACTCCTTTCAGTCTGCCTCTCTCTGCATAGATTTGTACCATTGCTCTAAAATCTCTCAGTGCTGCGTGTGGGTGGACACAGGGGACCATTTCTTTGGGGTGATGCAGAAGACCACTGGCCCGTGCACATCTCTCTATGAGGCTACCTTGACTGTCATGTCTATGTCGGCCTGAGGATGAAGGAGTCCCTGGGAGATCATCCAGACAGCAGCATGTGGCTACACCCTCCAGGCATCTGGCCAAGGCTGTGTTTCCAGAAGGGTGGGCAGAGAGAGCTCTGCGTCTCAGGGACCCTAGACCCCACTGCCGCTATCCTCACCACTCTTCCACAAGAAGGCTTTTCTTCAGTCTCAGATGAGTTGTCCTTATTTCTTTTAGGTGCTAAACAACTCTCTTTCTTGCACTTTAACCCTCTTCACCTTTCTTTTTCAATCTGAACTTAAGCATCTGGAGCCAGGTTAATAAAATGTCAGATTTTCTCCACTTTCCAGCCACAGGGGTCATTAGTACTCTAAACACTGAATAACCAGCAGGGGACAGGCCCTGACCAGTTCCAGCAACCATTTAGAACATTTGCCAACCAGAAATAGCCAGTGCAACCATCCTATGGGGGCCAGATGGATATTGCCCTATAAAGCCACATTCTTTTACAGAAGATTAAACACAGAATCAGTCGCTTGAAGAGTTGATAAAGGGGGCACCATGAACCCAAAAACAAATAACAAACTCAAATAAATAATCCAAGATATTATTATCCCACAGAAGCATTCATTTTGTAATTTACAAAGCACTTTGACAAACATTTCTGAGTTGCTGAAAGCACTTCTTGAAAAGCATAGATAGTAAAAGCCCTGGTTCATTTTAATTGATATCCTATTGCAATGGCTTCAGATAAACAACAGCACTAAAAGCAGGAAATGAGCTGGGCCTTGGCGGCACATGCCTCAAAGTCCCAGCGCTCAGGAGGTAGAGTGGGGAAAATCTCTGCGAGTCAGAGGCCAACCTGGTCTACAGAGTGAGTTCCAGAATGGCCAGAGCTATATCATTGGGAGAGCTTGTCTCAACAAACAAACAAGCAAACAGAAGCCCCAGTTCCATAAGGAGCTTGTTTACATTCTAGTAGAAGTTTTAGGAAACATATAAGGAAGTGTTCCTTCCCCTTCTTTCCTCTCCTTTTCTTTGCTACTCCATCTTCCTTGTTTTATTTTGTTTAAGATGGAGTTCATGGCACAGGCTGGTCTCTAGCTCAAGATCCCCCTACCTCAGCCTTTCCCAAGCACTGACTATAGACATGTGCCATGAAATCCAACTCTCAACAATTCACATACAAGTAATAGCACTGTATCAGAACGTGTCCACTGTTGTAAGAGGGACAGTTCCGTATCTTAACGACACATGGTCTGATTATGTCTCCTACAACAGTTGATGTGAGTCACATGGTGATTTAGGATCTCAGCCTCCGTTTTTCCCTGCCTGCAGCGTCTGCTCCTTCAACATTTTTCTTTTGGCTTCTTTGCATGCTGCTTACATGGGGAAAGGATGGAGGATCATGAAGGTGGTGGTTTAATGCTCTGGCTTTCCTTATTTCCTCATAATTATAGTGTGGCGTGCTGTTCTTATTTAATAGGACCTCCGTTGTATTGAATACTTCTGTGTTTTTCCTTTGGGGATTTTATAAGCCAGAAGGCTTTGGCCACAGGTTGAAAGACAAATCACATAATTCAGACACAAGTATGTGACTCCAAAAGGTTTGAATATCTGCTTAGATTTGATGGCCTTAAACCTGCTGTTCGAGCCATAGCAAGGGCATCCAACCCGGGCGATCTCTGCCTGTTCTGGTGTGACTGGTGTGACTACGGCACTTGCTAGCTCCTGTTGAAGCAAGCGCTCTTCCTTGGATCTGCAGTCTTTGTTGGAGACATGAATGGGTGTGCAAGTGCACTTAGCTATTGAATTCACTTTTTTTTTTTTTTTTTGTAAATACAATAGTTTTGGGCAACCTTTTACAAATGTCTGTAGATAACGTGCCAACCAGGAGCACATGACTTCCTACACAGATGTGCCTGCCGTCGCTGCTTTTGTCGAACAGTTTACCATCTTGAGCCAGCCTGGACAGTTGACTCATCCTGCTGCACGACTAAGCTTTTGTTGTTGTCATTAATATCCCTGACTTTTGGTGGCTTTGTACAAATATGACGTGCCGCTCAGGCATGTCTTTTGTTCTGTGCAGATCATCTCACTCTGACTTTTACAAAAAAAATACAATTTCTCTAAACCTTCTAACTGTAGAGATTCTTTATGTCCACATTCAGCTTTGGGAAAACTAAAGTCAACAGCTGGCATTCTCTCTGCCTTATTTTCTTTTCAACTCCCATATTCTCTTCTCTTTGCTTCTGCGACCCATGGTGTTGGGCTGTTTCGTTTACAGGAAAGCTTAAGTGTCTCTGTCTTTACTCCTAAAACATTCGACAGGTGAAGGAACTGAGGTGGGAGGGTTGTGTGCCTCTGCCTTACAAACACACACATGGGCATACATGCAAACTTACACTCATTCACACCCAGACTCACAAATAAACCCATATACATGGAGCCATGGGCACTGACTCAGCCAAGTGTAAAACACATTCATGCCTGTATGCACATGCCTAGACAGACACGGTCTCATAGGAGTTCAGGGGTAGACCCAGGCTGGCATCCTCTAGCCACACACCTGTTCCTGCTGCACTCAACCCACACTGAGAGAACCCTGCTCCAGGCCTCCATCCTGAACTAGAGATTCCCATCAACCACACAGAATTCAAATTGGGGGGGGAGGGTGTCTTTTATTTCTTCTTTCTCTTTTTCCTCTTTTTTCCTTCCCTCTTTCCTTCCTCTGTCTTTGCTTTCGTTTCTTTAGTATTATGGTTGTGTGTATTTATGAGAGAGATAGAGAGCATGAGAATATCTGAGTGCGGGCACACAAAAGCCACAGCCCCCATGTGCGTGTCGCAGAGCCCTCAGGACAAGACAGGTCCCCATTTCTCCTTCTCTCCTACTCCAGGCTCCCTAGCCTGTGAGCTTCCTGGTGGTCCTCCTGTCCTCACCTCCCGGTTTAAAGCAGGAATGCCAGGATTACAAATTTATGTCACCATCCAGAGGTTTTCTGTGAATTCCGGGCGCTAAACTCAGGTTGTCGGCGGAGGCTTACGAGGCAAGCACTTTTACCTGCTGAGGTCCTGCTGGTCCTTTCCCTTCCTCCTGCACTTAAACTACTGAGCAGAGAGGCTGGTGTGGCCAGAGGCCAGACAGGATGCCCATGGTTTTTCAGACGTGCCAGTGTCCCGGGTAGAGAGAGCTCCCAGCACTTGGCAGATATTCCTGCCTTTGCTCTTTTGAGGAACGCACCAGAACTGACAGAGGCCTGCGTTTATGCACTCCAATTTCCCACAGGCAACACTGTATGGGAGGAGTTGTACACTGTCCTCGTTGTTCACGGGTGCAGAGACCTTTGTATTAGTCCGGCAAAGCAGAAAGGGATAACGGAACCGGTTGTTGGTTTTACCGCCTCTTTTATTGGTTTCTGCTCTAATTCACTGGAAGAAGTTGTGCAATGTTTTAGAAATGTGCTCTGCACTCCCGTATTCTTCCCGAAGGTGAATGAGCCAACAGGTCAACAACCCCAGTGTTGCAATGTTCCCAGCCCGAAGCCTGCTGGCACAGTGAGCAGAGTCGTGTTTGTTCTCTGGGAAAGAGCACAAACAACTGATGACTGCAAGAACACACTAGGGACCCCAGGGGTGAGGCAGGGAGAGACGGGACGGCGGAGGCTGCTAAAAGCAGCTTCTGAGTTGGTTTCCCGCTCTGGGCAAAACCATCCCTCCGGTTCTAGAGGGAAACTTACATCATGAAGCTGCTCACTCTCCTGTTCCTCTGCTCCACACTCCTCCTCCCAAGTCTAACACAGGAAGAAGAAGACCCACAGGCCATCGACTGCAATGATGAGGATGTGTTTCAGGCCGTGGATGCTGCTCTGAGGAAGTATAACTCGGAGCTACAAAGCGGCAACCAGTTTGTGTTGTACCGAGTGATGGAGGGCACTAAAATGGTGAGTGACCGCTTAGCCATGAAATTGCTTGTAATTCATGCTCTCTGGCATGGAGGTAGAGACCTGGAGATGGCTGGGCCCTAGGCTTCCTGGGTGACCAGAAAAGCAGTATCCCAGGAAAAAAGAAACCAAAGTAGATGGAGATGTTTAAAAGGGACAACGCATAGTGGGTTACCTAGCGACTCCATCAGCTTCCAGCAGGAGAATCTGTGTCTGTGAACTGGGTGATCTCCCAGCTGTAAGCGAGAGTCAGTACGGGACGAACACAGGCACACCAGGAGAGTTGGCTTTATTGCCCTGGACCAAGTACATGCCACTGAGTACATGTGGCTGATTCTTCGAAATCAACAGTAACGCTTCCGGTAGTTTTCTTTAGTTTTGGAGGGCAGGGGAGTTGAGGCAGGGTGCCATATAGCTTTAGACTAACCATGAACTTGCTCTGTAGCTGACAATAAACTCTTCGATCCTCTTGCCCCATCTCCCTAGTACTGTGATTACAGGCATGTGCCACCATGACAGGTTTGTATGGGAACCAGACCCCAGACTCTGTACATACGAGGCAAGGACTCTACCAACTAAGCTACATCCCCAGCCCATTGTACTAGGTTTTACTGTACTTCTATTTCTTCATTAGTGCACTCAGGTAGGAGACAAATGCAAGCAGGATGCATAAATTAGAAAAAAATTAAACATTTAAGAGTTTTTGTTTGTTTGTTTGTTTGTTTTAAACAAAGTTCACAGGCTGGAGAGATGGCTCAGTGGCTCAGGGAACTGGGTGTGCTTACAAAGGACCTGGGTTCAGTTCCCAGCACTCATGGTAGCTCACAACTATACAGAACTATAACTCTAGTTCCAGGGGCTGGTCTCATGTATACATACATACGTTCAGACAAACACTCACACACACAGAATAAAAATAAAATTTAAATTTAAAATCTTGGAGCTGAGAGGTGGCTCAGAGGTTAAGAGCACTGATTGCTCTTGCAGAGTTCAATTCCTGAGTTCAATTCCTGAGTTCAATTCCCAGCCATTATAGATGGCTCACAACCATCTATAATGAGATCTGGTGCCCTCTTTTGGAGTGCGGGTGTACATGCAAACAACATTGTATACATAATAAATAAATCTTTGAAAAAAAAATCTTTCAAAGGCTGTAGAGATGGCTCAGTGGTTAAGAGCACTGGCTTGCTCTTCTAGAGGATCAGAGTTCAATTCCCAGCAACCACGTGGTGGCTCACAACCATCTATCTATAGTGGGATCTGATGCCCTCTTGTGGCGTGCATGTGTACATGCAGACAAAGCACTCATGTAAATAATTTTTTAAAAAGATTTACTTTAAAAAAAGCTTTCAAAAAAGATAAACAATACAATAATTTTTGCTTTAAAAGACTTTTTCCTTGGATTAGTCAAGTTATAGGAAAGAAAATCCAATCATTTGACATCGTAAGGATGAAAAGAAAACCCTAATGGATGGAGGTTTGTTTTCAGAAGGTCAAATGAAGCCTTCCATTTCTCACTCCAGCACAGTGTGCATTCTGCCTCCTGGTGCTCTTGGGCCGCAGCACCCCCTCCCTCCGTGTCTGCATTGACTGAGGCATGGGGCCCATGGGAGTTTTGCTGGACAGTGTCCATGTAGCCCCCTTCCCGTCTGGGACCCAGCCCGGGGCTCACGTCAGGCCGGCTCTCTACCACTAAACAGCACCCGGGCCCTCGAGGATTTCTGAGTTGTTAGCTTCACTAGACTGTCTCAACCTGCCAGCTGCCCAAGTAATGACACAGAGGACTTTTACTGGTCTATGACAGTCTAGCCTTACCGTAGGCTTGTTCCCAACTAGCTCAGATAACTTTATTCCATTCTATGTTCTGTCGCGTGGCTCAGCAACTCTTCTGTCTCTGCAGCTGACACGGCGATTCTTTCCCAGAACGCCTAGTTTTGCTCAGAAGCCCCGCCTATCCTCTCCTGCTTTGCTATAGGCCATTCAGCTCTTTATTAAATCAATCAGAAAGTAATGAAGATGTTTACAAAAGGCTGAGGTGATGCTTCATAAGAATAGCAATACCAAAGTCCGGCTGGTTCTCAGATCTCTGCCTGTACAGAAACCAGCATTTGAACAGCACAAAAACAACGTTTACACGGTGCACAAAAATATTACCCCAACAGCTCTCCTGGCCTTGAACTCAAGGTCCTCCAGTCTCAGTCCAGTTGTGATATTGGGATCACAAGCTTCACACTAGGCCCAGATTCGACCATACATTTTGAAGACCCATATATGTACATGTGAGCCAGGTTTGACAAAACAGAGCAGGGCTAGTACTATGGATTCTGCTTTGAACTCATTAAGAATGCAAGCCTTCTTCCAAGGAGCATTTGTGCAAATGTAAACATCTACATTTTAATAAACTCTTGGCTCTCTTTGAGTGTGATCGGAACCGGAGGTTGTAATGCCTCAGGTCCCACATGCTTGTTGCTGGGCCCACTGAATGACTCCAAGTGTCACCCTTGCTTTCCTCAGGTCGACTCTGGAACGTTTTATTCCTTCAAGTATAAAATCAAGGAGGGCAACTGTTCCATTCAAAGCGGCCTCACTTGGCAGGACTGTGACTACAAGGATGTTGAGGCAGCCGTGAGTACGCTCTTTGACACAAAAGCCCCCCAGCCTGTTCCATGTAACCCTCGGGATCCTATAAAATCTAAATGAAACTGTTAAGCTGATAGATCAGACTTGAAACTTGTATACGGGGGGGGGAGGGGGGGAGAGGGCGGGTACACCTGATGATTTGGCTCCGGATCACCTCTAGCAGTCACCAGTTGTTTATAGCGACAAAATTCAAAATCCTTTTAGCCTTTCTGCAATGAACAATGCAAAATTGTCATCTGTATTCAGTCCACTCCTGTCACTCAGTAATTATTGGCCAGCTCTGTCCTGTCCCCAGCCTCCACTCACCTCTGACTACTGTTCCGCTCCTAGCCTCTCTGACATCACCCTCTGTCAGCGTTTGATGTCCTGTGCCTAGACTTTTACACTAACCTGCTGCTTTCCAGTTTCTTCCACGTTACAAGTGGCCAGAGTTAATTGTTTACACCCGAATGGTAGTCCGTCCGTTATGGTATTCAGCTTTCTTGCCCACTCACCACCTGCCAGCTTTTTGGTTTGTCTTGTTTTTCAATTACAAGGGGATGATTTATATTATTGAGCCTGTTTATGAAGGATGAGAATAAACCCTCTGATATGTAGAAAATTTAGCCACACTGTATCTGAATTCTTGAGAAGACAGAAAAACCAGGAATACTCCAATCATTAAGCAGGCTTGTGTCCACTAATGAGAAGGTGGTCCTTTGACCAAGCAAAGCTGTATGTCAGACGCCAGGGAGACAACAGGAAGACATCTGGGCTGAGTTCTGGGTCTGATGAAGGAATAATGTGGGAGTTTCAGCTACACCGGGCCTTGGCACAAAGTTTGATTTTGCCCTCGGCTTCCCTCAGTACAGACAGACGAAATAAATTAAACAAAAGATCTTGTTAACGATGGGCATTTTAGAGAAATGCTGGATCTAGCACCTGCCAGTTGCCCTGCGCTGGTGAGGGGAGTATCTGCCTGAGAAGCTAGTGTCTCTTCTTACAGGCTAGGATTCCCCTCTTATGTCAGTGTCCTCTGCATTTTGTTTACTCGCTGTGGTCACCCACAGCTGTAAAAGAGCACTGCACTCCAGATTAGGAGGCCAGGACTGTCGCTCGGACTCTGCCCCTCAGTGAGTTTGTCCGGCAGCTGCTACGTCCTGCACAGCCAGTGTCTCAGAGCTTCCGGGAGGATCAGGGTGCCCTCTAGCCCCACACAACAGCTCCTGGTACTCAGTACTGTGAGTAAGAGTGAAGAAGACAAAGCTAGACCAAAACAAAACAACTGTTCAACACTAACAGTGGGCAGCCACTGTGTAAGAACCCACTGTGTGCTGCTCCGCGAGGCACTCTCTGTGTTGGCACACTGACTCTCCACAGTCACCTTTTAAGTACATGTGGTGTTATCTCCACAAGGTGGGTAAACTGAAGCAGTGAGAAGTACCAGGGCAGAGGGAACAAGCAGCGGACAGCAGAGTGGAAGCAGGATTGTTCTAGGAAGAGTCATCAGCCACTGAAACTGAAAGGGAAATAGAAGTGGAAGCTTAGCTCATTGGTCCTGAGGCCCGGCATCCACCCTGGCGACAAAGAAGCAGCTGCAGGACCCCGCATCAGGGCTCTAGTTTAGAAGTCTCGCTCTGCCTCTCCCCTGACCCGTGAAGATCAGTGGGGAGAAAAGAAAATCACCAGGTCATGTAAACATTCATTCTCACGTCCCACGATTTTGTTAGAGGGCTGGAAAGCTTGGCCAGTGATTACGAGCCCTTGCTGCTCTTGCAGAAGACCCAGATGGACACTCGGCACTCCCGTGGGGTCTGCTGCTGTCCTCTGGACTCTGCAAGCTCCGGGTGCGCATGTGGTACACGAACATACATACAGGCAAAACCTTCACATACATAAAAACACCTTAAAGCAAAACCAAACCTCTTTTAGAAAAACTTTTTCTTTTTAAAAAGCCACCTCTGGCAACAGCACTAGCTAGATGTCTTCATTAGGAAGAAGGATCTCGGCAAACGGCCTCTCTCTTCCCCTCTAGGACAATGGAGAATGCACAGCAACTGTGGGGAAGAGGGGACCCAAGAAGTTCTCCGTAGCTACTCAGACCTGCAAGATTACTCCAGGTGGGTGATGCAACTGGGGGCCCTGTCCTGGTGGTGGCAGCGGGCAGGAGCCTGGGGTGGGATATGCTGGTGTTAATTGGTCCTATATACCGAGAACACAACCTGGGCCAGACCACTTCACCCTCCCGGAAGGGGGCAGTGGCCACGCCTTCTGCAGCGTTGGGATTACGGTAGCTGTGTGTCAGGAGCAGCCCTGCAGCAGGTTCTTGGACAGGGCCAGGCTTGTGTCAGTCATCCCCTCAGAACTATCCTAACTCTCCCTGTGTGGTGTCAGCAGGGGCAGGCTGGGGTGGGGGCTGGCTGACAAAGATGAGGAAACAAATCCCACACAGCACCCTACAGGGAGAGTGGGCTTTGAGTTCTGGCCCGGCCTGGAATCACACCTTTTTGTTGCTGTTGTTGTTGTTTCGGGTTTTGTTTTTGGTTTGGTTTGGGTTTTGGTTTTTCAAGACAGGGTTTCTCTGTGTGGCCTTGGCTGCCCCGGACTCAATTTGTAGATGGAGCGGGCCTCCCCAAGTGCTGGGATTAAAGGCATGCATCACCACCGACCTGCTTTTTTTTTTTTTTTTTTTTTTTTTTGGCAAGACAGGGTTTCTCTGTGTAACAGCCCAAGCTGTCCTGGAACTCATTTTTTTGTAGACCAGAATGGCCTTGAGCTCACAGAGATTTCTACCTCCACCATCCTTTTCCTTGTCTCAGAAGAGACAAAATAAAACTGCATATGTGACAGGATTGTTGTGCTAAGAAATGAGACGATAAGCCCAAAGATGCGATGTCTGGGCATCATTAAGGACAGACTCCAGATGACAACAATCGCTAATGCTTACTGATCGATTATGTGCTTACGTGGATCTAGGGACTTCACACACATTAACTCATCCAACCATTACAGCTCCAACAGGGTACTATTATATCCTGATTTTTCAAATGAGGAAACTGAGGCCGGAGACATTAAGTAACTTACCTAAGGTTATACAGATAATCAGTAGTAGAGTTGGTAGAACAGAGCCTTACTGAAAAAAAAATTTTTTTAGGCCCTTAAGAATAAAAGTAAGGAACAACTTATGACCAAATTCTTACTTACAGCCATCATTCTTACTTTCAATAACGTTGTAAAGGTGTCAAGGCTTTATAGAGGGATGGGTGTGTATAGGTTGTGTGGGTACATGTCAGTCATGAAAACCTCCGTGGAGCTGGCCTCTGCAAAGTGAAGGAGGGAGGAGGAGGGAGAGAGGAAGGGAGAGAGAAAGAGAGAGAATCCCCCGGATTCAAGGTGATATGGTACATCACCTTGGGACAAGTTTCCCATATACTGGCCTTAGCTGCCCATAAAGAACCATCTCTATAGAATCATCTCTATAGTAACATCCGGGTAGGGCAGAAAGCACTCAGTTACCCAGTAAAGAAATGGCCGCCTTCTTAACTTCCCATATTCTCCTACTCCACTCTGTCTTGAATGAGAGCTGGCTAGAGGCAAAAAAAACAAAACAAAACAAAACAAAAAAAAACTCATATCTCCACCACTCCTGCGGTTTTAATCATTTTTAACCATCAATTCTCCCATCTTTCCCATCAAATTCAGTGCCCTAAATTCAACCTCTTCTACAAGAAGGGCAAACTATGCCTATTTACTCACTAAGTTTTTATCTGACGCCATTAGAGACACAGTACCCAAAACAGTCCTGAGGAGGGCAGTGTTGAGCAGCTAGCCATGTGGAGGGTCACCGGTGTCAGAGCACAGCCCACGACTGTGAGCCTCCTGACAGTCTCCTATTATGTTAAGCCAGCTTTCTGCTACTGTAACAAATTACCTGGGTTGGGCTTTGGGACACATTTACGATCCCACGACATCCAAGTGTGGTAGAGCACATCTGTGAATGCCACACTTGGGAGCTTTGGGGCAGGAGGAAAATTAGGAGGTTAAGTTCATCCTCAACTACGTAGCAAGCTGGAGGCTATCCTGGGGAATATGGGACCCTGTCTCAAAAGAAAGAGGGGAGGAGGGAGGAAGGGAGACAGAGACAGAGACAGAGACAGAGGTGCGGGGGAGAGATCCAATGACAGTAAGCACCCAGGAAGCATGTTCCCACGTGGTAAGGAAGCCTGGAATCCTGAAGGGGTGTCTCTGCTGCACATACCACTCAGTGAGCAGCTGTCAGCTAGGGCACTTGCCTTGGTAATGTAATATAAAAACCTATAAGATTTGACATTGTTTTATTGCAAACCATTCCATGGTTCCTCGTTCTACAATGGAGTATTCTTTGCTCACTTCAGAGGGTCTATGTGAACCCTAAAATCATCTGTAAATGTGATTACTTGCATTTTCCTGACGAGGGCTACCGCTCTCATCTGATCTGCCAAAGAACTTGTGGGCTCTGGGTATAGATAGCGGTTCTAAACACAGTTAGTAGGGCCTGCCTGGAGCCCAGCCTCCTCTCTCTGACTGTCCATAACTCAAACTGGCCCTCTCTGTGTCACACTGGATGCTCTGGTAAAATGAACAGATGCCACCTCCCGCACTACCGTTCCTCAATGCGTCCTGAGACCTCTCACCACCTTATTCCTTCTAGGGCAGGTATCTTCATCATTTTCTTTGATGTCTTCTGTGAGACCATTCTGGCCTCCTAGCTCTTGCCAAACCAAGAAATGATCTGTCTACACTGTTATCTTTCCTACCGGAATGTCATTCCTTCATGGAAATGACACTTAATGTCACCCTATACCCTAGCTCAGCAGCTGGCATGTGATAGCAGGGGCAGACAGACTTGAAGGAAAGGCTCCTCTTGATGAACAAGAAGGCCTCTTGCCTTCTGTCCTATGAAAACAGAGAAGAATGCCTTCTTGCCAGCATACAAACATATGCTTTCTACCTGCCAATGACTTGTTTTAGATGATGAAACCCTGAACGTGAAGCTGAACAAGTTGAACGATATTGTTTGGCATAAAAATGGAACGACAAACCTGTTTGCGAGGCTTCTTCTCCAAGAGCCAAAGCATCAGATTGAATTTGTCACAGGGTCAATGACAGAAACATGGTAAATGGAGTTAGGCCTCAAGGAGCCTGATGATGAACAACAATGACATACCTGTTAATGCTTTTCCTTTTATAAGATGGTGAGTTAGTGTATTAATTACTGTGATCATTAAAAATGCAAGCCGAGTGTGGTGTCTCATGCCTTTAATCCCAGTACTTGGGAGGCAGAGGCAGTTGGATCTCTGTGAGTTCGGGGACAGTCTGGTCTACAAAGCCAGTCCAGGACAGCCAGATGCTGTTACACAGATTGACCCTGCCTCGAAAAACAAAACAAATGAACAAAGCATTAAAGTAGGGGCCTAATGATATAGCTCAGGTAATGTCACTGCTCTAGAGGTGATGGGACCTGGGAAAATGGAGCTGACAAATGAAGCAGACTAAAGTCTCATGCAATAACCATCTTACTCAGAGCCCCAGACAACGTACACTCTGGAGGTTAAAAAAAAGGTCACCTGACAAAAGTTCTCATGGGCTCATGGGTTCAAGCTGTACAATTATATCACACGCCACACATGGCAAAAATGTGTTTTTCCATAGAGACATAGAAAAGATAGCTGAAACATTTAATTAAATAACAGCAAGCAATGATGAATAATCTGAAGTGAACCACTCCCATCCGACACACCCGGGAGGGGCATGAAAACACACTCTGTGTTGTGAAGAAACTGAGGTCACGAGCCACCTGTATTGTTTTCTTGGAGTGTTCTCACGAGCACTCAGAATTCTCCTCAAAGAGCTCCATTCCCGGGTCGCGTTCTGGCAAGCTAGTATGGCCGAGGACCTGGTTCAATCCCCATAACCCCAACAGCAGGCACATGAGCCTCTGGGGAATAGGAGAAGGAGGAGGAACAGAAATTCGAAGCCAGCCTTAGCTGCATAGATAGCTCCAGACCAACCTTGGAACATATGAAACCCTGTCAAAAAAGTGAGATAAATAAAATAACATAAAAGTAACTATTCTTAATACTCTCTTTGCCTTTGACTACACAGGAGTCCTAAACTCTCATTATCTTTTCTCGTATAAGAGTTACAGGAAGGTCAACTTATCAGGACCTTTCTAGGTGGTCTTTTGGCTTTAGGACCATGAATGTGGGATGTGTTTGCAGTTACTAATGCTGTCTCCTTGTCTTCTCTCTGTCAAGGGAAGGGCCCTGTTGTGGAGACCAAGTTCACCTGTATGGGTTGTGTGTATCCCATATCGACCAATAACCCTGACCTGGAGCCCATTCTGAAACATGCCATCGAACACTTCAACAATAACACAAATCATTCCCACCTCTTCACTCTTAGAGAAGTAAAAAGAGCCTACAGACAGGTTTGTCTTTCAATTTTTCTCGATATGTGATATGCTTAAAAATCTGTTAGACTGAAAAAAAAAATTTTTTTAATTCGTTAGATTGGTATTTTGTCACCTAAAATGAACCACTGTCAGGAGGAACCTGCCTGGAACATGTTGGCATGGTGCTAGAATGTCCTTGTGTGTGTTTATCAGAATAACTCTCAAGACAAGGAACTTTCTCCAGGATCCAAGTGAGCAGTGTGATACTCAAAAGAAAGAGGATGACACTCAAATCCCCTTTGAGTTTGTCTTTAATGAACAAGTAGTCAGATTACATGTTTTTTTTTTTTTTTTCCCCAGAGATGGAGAACTGGAAATGTCATTCTGGCTGTAGGGTTTTACCAAATCTATCTTATTATCTTGCTGTCATTAATTAAACATGGCCTCAAACTATTAAATTGTTCCTTTAAAAAAAGTAGACATGACTTTCTGGGTACACCCTAAGTTATTACTGCTCAATTCCTCCTTGTGGTGAGGCAGAAACAGCTAGTAATCTGATCATTTACTGTTTTTGTTTGTTTGTTTGTTTGTTTGTTTGTTTGAGGCAGTGTCCTTGAACTCACTTTGTAAACCAGGCTGGCCCCAAACTCACAGAGACTGTCTTACTTCTGCCTTTGAGTGCTGGGATTAAAGGCTTTTCTGAGAGCTCACTTGGTCCTGTGGGTTTCAGTTTCTTCAGAATCCTTCAGTTTAGTCAGTAACATTCTCTACTTTTAGTTCAACTTGCCATTATGTGAGATGTGTACGTTACCCACCTGTGTAGGGATGGTGGCGAGCATGGAGTCAGATGGTGGCTGCCAAGAACAAAGCAAGAGAATCTCGCTACCTGAAACCACACGACTCCCCAGAAAAGATCACTCCCATTTCACACTGCTCCTGTCTAGAAAATCACATTGCTTCACAAAACTGGGAGAAAAAATGTCCTCTTGGGAACCTGGCAAAGGAAAGAGTGTGGGGTTTTTGTTTGAAGAGACATTGTTTTTCATTTGCAGTTACTCAGAAGCATCAGGAGGAGTGGTGTGTGTGTGTGTGTGTGTGTGTGTGTGTGTGTGTGTGTGTATGTGTGTACGTGTGTGTCACAATACTCAATATTTATTCTGAAACTTTTGCCTAGTAATAATGATGGTTTGTATTTCTTGCGCACTTCCTATATCTAACTCAATGTTTAAAGATGTTTATAACTCTCACTCACTGTCACCAATATTCGAACTGAGCTTCAAGTACTCACTCAACCTAAAATCGTTTCAGGTGGTGGCTGGACTGAATTTTGAAATTAACTACTCAATTGTGCAAACTAATTGTTCGAAGGAGCATTTTCAGTTACTACATCCAAGCTGCAAAGCCTCTCCGGATGGTGTAAGTAGGCAAAAGTTTAACAATCGCCTTTCACATTGTGCAAACACCATGAACGGGACTGTCGTGCTCCATGGGAAGACATGACACTGAAACTGACATGTCATTTAGTGGTTCACATTCACATCCAGTGGGGATCCTGGGACCGCAAGTTCCTGGTCAAGGAATGTGCATGTGTCTCGTTTAAGTATTTACCTTCTGTCCGGGATTAGGAATGGGGAACCTTCCCAGCAGTGATGGGCTGCCACACTCTCCTAGCCTCCTTCCTGTTCTTGTGTGCTCAGTGTCCCGACAGGGTCATCTTTTACTTCAAACTCTTCTCTGCCTGTTTCCTTATCTTTCCTCTTCTGCTTCCATTGTAGTAAACACTCCCTGGGAATTCTCTCCCTTTGTGGATGATATCTTGTCATTTTAGCCACAATTACATTGCAATGCTGTCAGTGGTGGCTGGTGAATGCCAAGGTGGCTAAAGGATGAACCTTCCCGGAATATTACTGTAGATGTTTCTTTAATCTAGTATCTCTGCTTTTAGAATTCTATTTTATGAGGAAAAGGTGGGATATCTAGACCACATTTTGATAATTTTTGGTATTTTCACTGGGAAAGCGTTTGAGACAAATTATATCTGCGTGAGGAAATGGTTGGGCAAACTACATCGGACCGTAGATTAGAATATTGCTTACAGAGCCTTCCGTGACACTGACCAATCATTGTAGTATATTAAGGAAAAAGCAAAAACCAAAATACAAATTGTACTCACGGAGCCATGAAGACAGGAGGATTAGGAATTCAAAGTCATCCTCAATGGCACAGTGGGATTGAGGCCAGTCTTGGGTTAAAAAGACGATGTTTTGCTGGGCATAGTGGTGCATGCCTGTAATCCCAGCACTCAGGGAGGCAGAGGCAGGCAGGATCTCTGAGTCGAGCCTGGTCTACAGAATGAATCCAGGACACCCAAGACTACACAGAGAAACCTTGTCTTGAAAAAAAAAAATTAGTTAGAAAAAAGACGGTTTCAAAAAGAAAACAAACAAACAAAACAAAACAAGTAATTAAAGAAAGGAAGGAAACAAGGAGACTGGGTGCAGTGGCACACACCTTTACCAGAAACAGTAGATCTCTGTGAGTTCTAAGGCAGTCTGGTCTACAAACTAAGTTCCAGGCCAGCTAGGGCTACAGAGACACTATCACAAAAAAATAATTTTTTTTTTTAATTTAAATTTAAAAAAAGAAGGGAGGGGTGGAAGGATGGCTCAGTGGTTAAGAGCACTGTCTGCTCTTCCAAAGGACCCAGGTTCAGTTCCCAGCACCCACAGGGCAGCACAACTGTCTGTAATGCCAATTCCAAGAGATCTGACACCTTCACACGAATGGCACATAAAATAAAATTAAAATAATTTAAAAAAGGAGAGGAAGGAATGGAAAATTATGATACAGTATCATTCAGATATACAAAGTAAAAGTAATATAAAATGTAAAAAGTGATAGGAAATAAATGTGCTGTGATTCAGAACACAGTTAACTTTAAAGAAGGGCTGTGGGTGCTTTTTTCTGATTCTTCATACCTTTTGGGATATCTCAAAGATTTCTTAAATTTTCTAGTTGCTCATGCATTGATTTATAACTCAAGAAAGAATCATGAAGGTCACCATCAAGAAATACATAAAATGAGAGAAAGCATTTATGAATGTTCTATTCTGTAAGGACTTAGTATAAAGAATCCATTCAAATGTCCCAGAACTCAACAAGAGGACAGACCACTTTTAAAATGGGCCAAGGGTTGAGCAGACATTTCCAGGCTCACAGGGAGCCAATAAGCACATCGGGAGATCCACAGCACCAGAATGGTCAAAAATCCCCCAGAGGAAAAGGGGGGGTGTGCTGAGAAATGGGAGTTTTATATTTTGCTATGGGGGTGTAAATGGACACAGCCTTTCTGCAAACATTTCGGCAGTTCCTCAAATAGTCAAATATAAAATGACACCAAATGGGCTGCAGCCAGTAAAATGTTTGCTGTGAAGGCAGGAGGACCTGGGTCCACATCACCATCGCTGGAGGGGCGGGCTGGAGTGGTGGCATGTTCCCACGATCCCAATAGTGGGGAGGAGACATGATTCCTGGGCTTCACCGGCCCTAGCTGAATGGGAGAGTTCCAGGTTCAGTGAGAAACCCTATCCCAACCAATCAGGAAAGACCTCTTACGACAACCTCTAGCTTCCACACTTGTATGCACACACATCCATGTGCATGCACACGTAATAAATAAATAAACAATGAAATTACACTAAGCAGGAAATTAGCAGATGCCCCGGCAACTGCACTTCTAGGTATATTTCCAAGGGGACTAAAACCAGCCCAAACAAATGTACAAGTGTTCCCAGCAGCACTACTCCTAGAACCAAAGAGTGAAAGCAATCCACATGCCCAGCAACACGTATCCGACTTTGTTTATGTTGCTGTGATGAAACACTTGCCACAGACACTTTGGGAAGGAGAGGGTTTATTTCATCTCACAAGTCACAGTCCATCATTGAAGGAAGGCAAGGCACGAAGTCAAACAGGAACCTGGATGCAGGAGCTAAAGCAGAACTCTGGAAGGACGGCTTCCTGGCTTTCTGTTTGCTGAAGCCCATGATTAGCTCTTTCTTGTACCTCCAAGGATAGCCTTCCCATGGGTGGCACCATCCACGGTGGCTGGGCCCTCCATAACAATCATTAATCAAGAAAATGACAGGGCTGGAAAGATGGCTTAGCAGTTAAGAGGTCTAACTGCAATTCCAGAGGACACAGTTTCTATTCTCAGCACCCACACGGTGGGCCAACACCTTCTGTAATTCCAGTTCCAGGGTGTCCTACACCCTCTTACGGCCTCCATGGGCACTGGCACATAGTGAGCACACATATGTAGACAAAACATTTGAACATTCAAAATAAAATTTAAAAAAAAAAAAGGAAAAGAAAATGCTCTATAGACTTGTCTTGTGCATTTTCTGAGTTGAAGGGGGAGCCCCTTCCCAAATGATGATTCTAAATTGTGTCGAGTTGACAAAAAAACAATCAAGACCACAGGTTTATGGATAAATGACATGCTATATACACAAAACAAAGGGTGATGGGTGAACCTTGAAACACGGTGTAAATGAACTAGGTCAGGCGCAGACGGATAGAGAGTGTGTGATTCCATTTATAAGTAAAACGTGAAGTAAACAAATTCATAAAGACAGGACGTAGATGAAGGTTTAGGAGGCCCAGGAAGGGCAAAATGCCCATCTATTGCTTACTGGGTTCTAGGTGGTAGTGACGGTTGTACAGCATGCTGAATTTTAATTAATGCCAGCAAGTTACACAACTTTCAATGTTTTAAATGGAAAGTTTACATTTTATAAATAGATATCCTATCTATCTTTATATCTTATTTCCTATACACACTTTTTTTTTTTTAAACCCCAAAGGAGGAGCACTCTAAAGCATCAAACATTCTAACCACTATTTAACTCTGTCAGTTTGGGTCAGTTCTGGCATATGAAGGCCTTGGTGTTTCTTCAGCTCCAGACCTACTTCGTGAAGACTGTGTGGCTCTTCATGCCGCACAGCTTTGTTTTTCTGCAACTGTCTATAAGCTGTCAATTTAGTTGCCTCTTGGCAAAATGAGAAAATGCCAACAGCTTTGGTATAGCTTCTCTAAGACATCACTTCCTTCCTTGTAAGATAAGAAATGGTATTAGTAACAACCGCTCGGTTTTTCTAATAACTAAAGAAAATTAAATACAAAGAAAATGTTTGGCCCATGCTCAGTGAGATTTAAGCCAAGCTCCTCATCAGCATCTGTGGGGAGCTTGTCAGAAGGTCAGAGTTCTAGCTGGGAGATGGCGCATGCCTGTAATCCCAGCACTTGGGGATGGGGGCAGAGGCAAGAGGAGCTCTCTGAGTTCAAGGCCTGCCTGGTCTACAGGACTGCCAAGGCTATACAGAGAAGCCCTGACTCCAAAAACAAAACAAAGGAAGGAAAGAAGGAAGGGAGGGAAGAAAGGAATGAAGGAAAGAAGGAAGGGAGGGAAGAAAGGAAAGAAGGAAGGAAGGAGGGAAGGAAGGAAGGAAGGAAGGAAGGAAGGAAGGAAGGAAAGAAGGAGGGAGGGAAGAAAGGAAAGAAGGAAGGAAGGAGGGAAGGAAGGAAGGAAGGAAGGAAGGAAGGAAAGAAGGAGGGAGGGAGGGGGGAGGGAGGGAGGAAAGGAAGGAAGGAAGGAGGGAGGGAGGGAGGGAGGGAGGGAAGGAAGGAAGGAAGGAAGGAAGGAAGGAAGGAAGGAAGGAAGGA